TTAGCTTATCTGGCCTCGAGATGCAGCAACAAAAGGAGTCTCCCCGCCGTCAAGTTAACTATGGGAGAGGAGGAAATGGGAAGTGTGGCGAGGGGAACTTTATTTCTGGTTGAAAAATATTCTGCAGGTTGGTCTTTGAGCGCCGCGTGGTGGGAAGTTTTGAAACTAGCCCGAATGTCTCGGAATCTTGGCCTTGTTCCCAGCGGATTTGAAGCCGTTTCATGGTGTCAAATGAGTGCTTTGGAAGCTCGCCCCCGTATCCGCGCTCCAGCACGGAACAAATGATTGGCATATTCAATTTCTAGACGACTTGCTCGACTGGCAAGCCTGCCTGCCACTGACGTCACGGCACTGAAAAGTGCGCGAATATTTGAATATTGGTTTTTGCACCATTTTCATTTGCCGATTTCACAATACATTATGAATTTCGCGATGCTAAATAGCATACCGGAAAGGCTAAAGGCCGGGGAGTCCGAAAATATAGTTAGTTGAGGTAGCTCAAAAAATCGGTGGAGTATCCCTTTAAGTCTCAACGCTGATAACTACGGCACGCTTGGCCATGGGGAGGCCGTTGACGCCACGGGCAACTCGCGGGCGGGCGCGGGCGCGATGAATATACCGAGACGCACCGCGCTCTTCGATGGCTGATCTTGAAGCGCTCGCCAGAATCGAACCTTTAGAACAGAAAATACAACCATCCGTCCGAAATACAAGCGTGCGATTGTCATTAGAAGATAGAGTTGATCATGTTGAACTTATTTTTGGACGTAAGAGGTATATTTTAAGTTTCGATTGAGTACCCCATTAAGGGGCGGTTCAAACCAAGCCGCAAAATGAGCCCGCAAAGATAGAGGAGGAACTCGTTTGTTAGCCCAGAAGCGTGCGGGAGTGTATGGTCATAGCCTCATAGGAGGCTATGGTATGGTCGAGAATTTGGAAGGGACAGCTCGCCGGGACGCCGGAGACGGAAAGGCTGAGAGGGAAAGGGGAAACGCACATGATGGGCGGTAGGGGAAGAAAAGGCAAACCTTTGCAGGATTTATGAGTGGCTTTGAGGGGGAGAATACAGCAAAAACACACTGCTTCTTAAAGGGCCTATGACACGCCCCCTCCCCCCCCCCCCCCCCCCCCCGCCTTTTTTTTAATTTTATTTTATGTTATGCGTTAAAATGGTGATCAGGATATCACAAAAACAAAAAATTCACTTTCGAGTTGCGTAGATTTTTTAAATAAAAATGAGAAATACGAAGCCAATTCAAAGTGCCCGCCAATGCCCTGTGACGTAACAATGTACCGCAAGATGTCAGGGCGGTCAGAAGGGAGGCATCGCCGAAAGTCACGTAAGTTGTATCACTCTTCGTGCTTGCCGCGACCGCGTGTAATATCTCTTTTTTTTTTTTTTTTTCGCATCTCCGCGAGCAATCTAAGCTCACAGTGTTTCTTTTGTTTGCTTTGCATCGCCCAATGTTGCTGTAACGGTAGAAAAAGAGGAGTCAGTGAACCTAGTAAACAAGTTCTACTCATGTTTTAGGCAAAACACGTACTTCATGCTCGACGTTTACTTGTACCCTGTACACTTACCAGTTCGTATTCTCTAGATGGCAAACATCTTCAGCCTGGAGAGTATCCGATGATTCGACGACCTCGATGACTGAACCTTCAGTAATACGATCGTGCGTGTCATATGCTACCAATCCTAATTGGCGAGCGTTCTATTTTTTTTTTTTTAACTCGATAGCTTGTTTTGTGCCCAGTATGGCTCTGTACTATCGGACTGATGGCATCCACTCGTACACTGGCTTGCACTCGTAACGCTTTCATCATTGACCTCCAACAAGTCGATCTACTGACTCTTCGTCCTCAACTTTTACAACACGCAAACTAACCAGCGGTGCGGTGATAAAAAGCCAGTGGAACTGAAACTTCGTTTTTTACAATCGCTCGTGGAGAAGACACAAGAAAAAAGTCGTAGGCACGGTCGTGGGGAGCAGGAGGAGTGAAAATCAAGTGACTTCCGGCGAACACAATTTAGTGACGTAGGTCGATGCCTCCCTACTGACCGCCCCGACACCCTGCGGTACACTGCTACGTCACAGGGCACTGGCGAGCTCTTTGAATTTTTTTGGCGTGTCAGAGGCCCTTTAAGCCTCTGACACGCGATGGGCGCCATTAAATTTCTCAATCGAATGGCGGCCATAAACACGTACCTCGGGCGAGCAGTTGAACACACTCTTACTTTAGGCTCACCACAATATGGTAGAGAGACCCAAGTAAGAGTGTGGTCAACTGCTCGCCCGGGATGCGTGTTTGTGGGTGCCATTAAATTGCAAAATTTTGCTGTGTGTCTATGGGAATGCGGGTGGTTTTTCAACATAACTCAGGCTATAAACAGCCCTGGAGATGCTTAAATAATTTAGGCAAAGAATAAAAAAAAAAAAAAAAAAAAAAAAAAACCTTTTTTTGGACACCACTTTTTGCTCCAATAGGATCAGTATTTTTTACACGCAAGAAGGGGTATAATCCGCCATCTCTAACGCTGCCATTACATTGCAGACGCTCTCCATGGTTTGAGTTGAACACTTGAGGCTCTCTACAATATGGCCACGCGCTAAAACGTTGAAAATTCTGGTCTATGTGTGCCTAGATTTAAGAGTGTTTCCCACTGCTTGATCCGAGTCAGGTGGTTCATGGATCGCGTTTGCGACACAGCTTATGAAAAGGTGCCAAACGCGTCTATCGCCTGCAAGCGTCTTTGCCTTTCTTATTCTCTCCGACCCCGCTGCCCTTCTCACCACTTGAACCCTGAACCCAAGTGCAAATGCATCCAGTCTGCGTAGGAGTTCGTCCGCCATTAAGTTGCAAAACGCTTTCCATTGTTTAAAGGTCTGTTCACACGATGCATCTTTTAGGCGCGCAACAGTTTCGCGACACTCAAGTTTCGCGAAATGTGCTCGTTCACACGTACCGCTTCACGTGCAACAACGATGACGTTTTGACTCGCGAAAATAGTTTGGGTGTTGACCATAAAGTGGCGCTTCAGTTGAAAGTCAACATCATCATCATCACCATTAGCCATTCAGCGTCGTGTTCTCCACCTCCTGCCACATTCTAAGAGTCAAAACGCAGGTGAGCTTGTGAACAATCATAATTAAGAAATAAAACCTTAAGACAAGGAAACAAAAAGGGACATACACACTACCGTCTTAAAACCAGCACAGCATACAGCTGTCATTTACTTCCATTTACTTAATTTACTCTTAAATTTTCATTTACTAGTTGTTGAATTGTCATATTTACTGCCATTTACTTTATTTACTGTTGAATATGTATAATTTGGATGGAGGTTTACAAAGAAGAAGACTGTTGTGGAAGTAAATGAGAGCTGTATACGCTGTGCTCGTTTTGAGACGGTACTGTGTACGTCCCTTTTTGTTTCCTTGTCTCAAGGTTTTATTTCTTAATTATGACTAAAATAGACGCGAATTATCATCATCACCAATTACGTCTTCGTCCATCGCTGGATTTTTTTCCGATATGCTACTCACTTTTCCTTCAGTGGTTCTTGACGTGCTTGCGGAAGCGCCGGCAGTATCCATCGTTCGTGGTTTCGGTTTTTTTCGGATTTGGCTCGGCTACAACACCGGCAGTGAAATGGTCTTCTCAAACAGCTCGATCCCCCCTCAAAGGCCATGTGAGAGCGTTTCTGAGCGGCCATTGGCGGCGCCCTCAGAGCGATTGACAGGACTCGGCAAAGTTGCAGCAAAAGCTCGCTCCAGAACCGAGGTGTGCGCGCAACTTTTTTTAGATGCGCGCGTCCTTTTCAGACTCGTTCAGACGGCGCAACCATTTCGCGAAACTACGTTTCGCGACACTAGATGCGCGAGAAAAATGCATCGTGTGAACGGGCCTTAAGACGTTTCCTTTCTCCAATCTATGCTCTCTGAAGGAACGCCGCGACGAAATCTACCCTCGCCTTCTTCGCCAGCATTCATCCTGCAACCAACCGTCAGGATTGTCACATCCGACAGCATGACCCACCGGCTCCAGTAACACAATTCGTTGCCACGATCGGGGCCATTTTCGGTGCACGTGCAGGATGGGACAGTATAAAGTACACCAGTTGAAGACGCGTCCCTGTAGTTTCCAGGTACCGTGGTAATCAAGCAGATACCCGTGGCAAATGCCGAAGTGCTATTGATAAAATTTGGGGCTGGCTTGACGTTTTAGCTATCGAAGACTGAGACAAACTATGTAATTAAGACGCGATTGTGTGTAATGAATAGGAGGTATTCAGTGTTCTCAAAACGTTAATTCCCCACTTAGTTGTTCAATGTCGGAGCTATGAGATTAGAAGATTTGTACACTACGCATTTGACAATGCATTATTTCTTTGCGTATCCCGAATGCCTAAAATGAAGAGAAATCTCAATTGATATTTTTGCATAATCTTTATTATGTCTTCACTGCATTTGTTTGCTTTTAATAATATTCTTACTTGCCGCCATGCAGGGCAATACATGGATGTATCTGTGACCTTTTCACAAAACACTTTTTTCCGAAGGGGCAGACGAAATCGTAGATAGAGGCCAAACATTAAAAAAAGCTTGCGTGCGCCAGGAATGTCTGGGGTTTTGGATGTCACATGTCGGCATAGCGTATCATATATATACGCTACAGTTTAGAGTATAGATTATTCAGATTAGATTGAACGGGGATTGCGACACATTGCAATGTTCTGTCTTGTTCTGAAGATCCTTCCATAACCTGAGCATGTCCTCCACCTCAAGCTGGTGACTAGTGATGGCCTTCCTCATGTCGCAGCCTGTCACTTTGCCACCGCGTAATGACGAGAACCCCCGCATATTGATGACACTGACCGGAGACATCTGGTCTTGCGAAGCGTTCCAAAACAGGCCCTCCATGCTGCTCAACGAGCCGTGGATGGACAAGCTGAACAGTCTTGGGACAACGTCCATGCTTACTGCATAGCCACAACTCACGCAAATTGTTTGCTTGATGACGTTTAGCTTGTGTCCGTTCCAGACGGACGGCTTTCTGTACACGTGAGCGTAAATGACTGAAGTTTTGAACACTACATCCTGAAAAACGTCTCTCATGTACTTCATGTTGACGAATGTGTCGTCCGCCACCTTCACCAGATAGCTGGCTTGAGGACACGACAGCGAAGCCCACTTGAGCATCAGGATGTTGAGGAGCGTGACTGAGGTGTAGGACCCAGTAAACGTTCCCTGAACAATGTCCTTGTGGACAGCGGCTTCGCTGGCAATTTTGATTTGAGACTCGTAATAGTTGGGCGACACGGCGGGCTTCCCCATCACAAACACGACCACGGCCCGGCGTCCGTCGGACAGCGGGAACCTGGCGTCTCTGGCCCACGTCTCCCGGATGGTGGCCCGCAAGCGGAAGTGGTGGGGAGCCGAGTGAACGACCACGATGAAGGCATCTTCGTTCGACGTTCCGGCGGCCATCGTGCCTAGGCATAAATTGTCGGGCGGCTGCAGAGCAAACTCGTAAGATGCCGGATCTCCTGCGTAATTGCGCTGCGAGGGGTAGGAGTGTCGGTGTAGTCCGAGGCTCGACCTCTTCTGCACTTTGCCCCGGAACCTCGAGTCTCGGAATTGAACGACGACGCTCCAGCCAACCGCGACCGCCACGAAGAGGAAGGCCAGGAGCCAAATCCATCTGCACGGTGCTCTTTTGGCCTACGAATGAGCGGAGGCAAAACACGTGTGCAACTATACCGCCTCTGCTTTTTCCGTCGCGAACCGTTACAACTGCTAGGACGTTTTTGGGCTTATTAACTTTGACCACTGGGGATCTGCAACTTTTAACAAAAATGTGAGTAAACAATGTCTATGACAGCCTGAAAAACAACTGCCTCGGTTAAATTTTACTTTGACCCAATGTCGTTCTTGGCGAGTTAGATCCTTTTTTTTTTCGTTTGGAAGAAATGAGTTAGTCCTGTTTCCACTCCAAAATAGAAGCGAAAGGCGACAATATTATAAAGTAACAAGTTACAATTTAAAGTAACAAAATTAATTCGCACCAATTCAAATACTGAATTACTATCCAAGTATTCCCGGGCCAGAAAAAGAAAAAACAGCATGGCAAACAAAATCAATTGAATCCAAAAGTATGTATTCACTGGTATAGGCAGTGGCAGTGGAGTAACCAGGGGGGCTTACGCTGCTTCAACACCCCCCCCCCCCCCCCCTCCTCCCCGGTCTCAAACTCATTTGAGTGCGGGAGCCAGATATCCCACCCCCGTAAAGTCGAAGGCTAATGGAAGGCGGGGTGTGTATGTGTGTGTGAGGGGGGGGGGGGGGGGTATGGAGAAAGGACGAAGGGACTCTACGCTCTTGTTTAATATGTCTGTAGGTTTGATTCGTTTTGAGGAGTACTTTATGCTTACCTGGGCCCGTTTGCTCAAAGCGCTAACCGCGGCTAAAGTTAGCCGCAGTACCTATAGAGAGGGATTTTGAAATCACGTGACTGGCTCGGTAGGGATGCAGGGAAACATGGCGGCGCCCCGGTGAGTGAGCGCCGCTCGCTTTGGAACTAATATGTTGTTGTAGCTGCAATATTGGGCGCGTTAGTCAGCAATAAATGGTGCAGGAGGCTTTCGCTTGGCCTTAGCTCACTTAAATCGCAAAGCATGAGCAATAACCTTTCCGCATTTTTAAATAGTATTTTGATTCTGGCCATTTCTAAGCCTAAATGAACGCGATAATTGTCGGCATGGCAACGTCATTGGAAAGTGGATTTCCTTGACTCAATCGGCCGGGTATTGATAGCGCACAAAAGCAGACAGCGTCCTAGTAGACCGTTTTCTAAATTTCCCCAGCACCGAGAAGAACGCTGGAAGTGTAAATCTACGGTCTGCGCGCGCTAGCCTTCCTCTTATAAAAGATTCGAACTAAGTAATCATAATAAGGCTTTGACGGACGCGCGTGCAAGGCCAAATTTGTTTTAGACTTTTTGCTTTAGGACAATTACTACTGCATACGCCAGCACATGCAACGCGTGCAACTACACTCGTAGCATGCACCTCGGTGCTTGGGAAATTGAGAGTCTGCTTTTGTGTACTATCATTACCTGGCCGATTGAGTCAAAGCAATTCATTTTCCAAAGAGGTTGCCATGCCGACAATAATCGCGTTCATTTAGGCTTAGGAATGGCCAGAATCGAAAGACTATCTAAAAAACGCGGCGAGGTCATTGCTCATGCTTTGCAATTTAAGTGAGGTAAGGCAAAGCGAAAGCATCCTGTACCATTGGTTGCTGACTAACGCACCCGATATTGCAGCTACAACGACATATTAGTTCCGAAGCGAGCGGCGCTCACTCACCGGGGCACCGCCATATTTCCCCGCATCCCACAGTGTACTTCTAGTACACTGTATCCCTACCGAGCCAGTCATGTGGTTTAAATCCCTCTCCTAGGTACTGCGGTTAAAAAAAATGGGTTGTGTGTATGTTTATGTCCACCAGCTCGCCCGACTCCGGATTCAAGACCAGCAACATGTCGACGCTGGCCGTTACAACCTTCGCCGTCACGACGTTCACGTTCAGCCCGGAGACAGATTGTGGGTCTGGACACCTATTCAGCGCCATGGTCTCCACGAGAGGCTGTTAAAACGGTACTTTGGACCCTACAAGGTGCTTCGTCGACTCGGGAACCTGAAGTACGAGGTGATGCCCGACGGAGCAGGGACTTCATCACGTCGCCCTCCACGACCGGAAGTCGTCCACGTCGTGCGCTTCAAGCGGTACTACTTTCGATAGGGCTATGCTCGATAGGACAGTGTTTTACAAGCCTCCGTAGTTTGACATTTTTTTGTTTGTTTTTCTGTTTTGTTTCCTGGCACGTTCAATCGAATCGATGCTCTTTTAAGAGGGGGGAGTAATGCCACGCGCGTAGCCAAGCGAGCACGTGCTTGGCCGAATGGTTACCATGCTTGGCTATCGCGCGGCGGTTCCAGGCTCGATTTCAGGAAGTGGATTACTCTTTTGTTTATACTTTCAACTTGACGTTCTCGTAAGTTTGAGAACCTTGTCGTCTGATCAAGTTACCGCTGTTCTACGTACCGAACGTTCTACGCCAAATGTTCCAGAAACCCACGCTGGTACAAAAGATGCTCCGCGTGGCGGTCCGGAGTCAGTCTCGCTCTAGCGCTCGATCGTGCTACTCCGCCGACCTTCGACGCCTGCGACGCTACGTCTTTGTATTTTTGTTTTCGGCACAAGTACGCCAAAATAAACGTTTAGTTTCTGTTCATTCGTCGCCTCATTATCTGTCATTCGTGACACTATTAAACGTTTAAAATCGAGATAGAAAACAAAATTACGTGTATTTTACAAGTTATGTGATAGGAAGAACAGTTCACGAGTCAGGTTGTTAACATACATCACCCGACCCCTTCATACTCCTTTCTCACTCACTCAAGTGCCGTGAAAAAGGTGAGGAGGAAGTTTGATATCGTGCAGAGCTGGCTATGTATAATGACTTGCAGGCTCTTGCGTACTTTTAGGCAGGGCTGGGCAGTATCGCGGTACAAATGCATCACAATAGTGCCTTAGAGATACTATCGAGTATTTGAATCTCTGTGTCAAAATACACTTGAAAAATTTATTTGTATCTCAATGGAGAAATACATTTACAATGTATCGCTTGTATCGCGATACTTTGACAGACTTATAGCTAGGTATCTCGTTACATTTGTTGTCGTTTTTTACAATAAATTTAAAAGATGAAAACATGTGTGGTGCAAGGTGATTCAGAATTTATCATTTAAACCCGCCCCCCATACAAATATGTCCTATGGCCAGCTATAGAAAATTTTTGGTGTGGTCGGCTTTAGCTATTTGGCCCAATTAGCTAAAGAATTTTCTATGGCTTTCTTTAGCATTTTTTTATGGACGCCTTTATGGGCCTCTTTAGCTTTGTCTATGGCCCTATCGCTGTCCAGCCATAGCGCTCTTTAGCTTTTCTAATGGTTGGCTAAAGACTCCTCTATTGCTTTCCCAATGGCTCTCTTTAGCCAGCAAACCCTAAAAAATAATTTTTACTTCAAGTTTTCCGACTTGTGAACGCTACATGCTGTAGTTATATCTATGTATAAATTATGTGTAAATCTATGTATAGCTATACATACATCTCTGAACACACAGAACACAAGCAGTGTATGTATATAGCTGTACATACACTCTGAAAAAACGGTGTAAACTGGTGTATTGTTATACCCTTTGTCACATATAATACACCCCAAAACTTAATTTCGACGTACTGAGCCCTGTAGTCGAACAGACGGCCCCACATTTTACGAGGGGCTTGATAGCCGGTACAACTTATTAAAATAGCTAAAGTACGTGTTACTGACTACAAAAAAAAATCATAGGGTTTTTTTTTGGCCGTACTGCAAAAACTCAGTGTTTTCTGTATGTGGTATTTTATACGTACTTTAGCTATTTAAAAGAGTCAAATCACGCGGCTATCAAGCCCCTCGTAAAAGTTGGGGCCGTCTCTTCGACTATAGGGCGCTGCAAGTCGAAATGAAGTTTTGGGGTGTATTATATGGGACAAAAGGGTGTAAGGTGATACCCTTTTCTTTAGTGTGTAACACAATTACATATCACAGTCACGACCATTCAAAAAGAAACGATGGTTTAAAGAAGGCTGCTTGCAAGAATTACAGAATAAGTTCCGCTCACACAGAGCTCCACTGTAGAGCGAAGACAGTGGAGGAGTTGAGTGGAGAGAAGGTACGGCTCTGTTGTCTAATCTTCCCACATTATGGCGGACTCAGAAGTATATAAGACGACAGCTTGAGATGCGCCTTCACGGCAAAAAAAGGATTCATTTCGTGCAGACAACTTTTGTCAAGCAAGGAACGCAGTCTTTACCATTCAGTAACTATGTGGTTCACCGGGGCTGACATGTTTTTATTCGTTTCTTTCAGAGGCATTAATGATAAATAAAGAGTTCGGGACAAGGGGAAGTGCATAAATTGACAGAAAAAGAGGAGCACAAGCATACATTACCATTTGCCTTCGCCACGAACTACACCCTCCCCACGTTGCACCGTCCGGGAACAAATGTTTTTCTATAAGTATCTGTATCTTTATTCCGGAATACTTTTTCGCCGTTTCTGCAGAATTATCTCAGGGATATCCCGTTGAATAAAAGATAAGTGTTTCTCAGTACTTTTTGGAGTATCCCTGCCGAACCCTGCTTTTAGGAGGTCCCCATGCTGGGTGACAATTGGCAAAAAAAAGCCAAAGTGTTGTTATAGTTAACCTTTACGTATACCTAGGGACTGGTAATTCTCAAAATTCAAATAGAAACTTCCATTTTTTATTATTGTTACCTTGCATAAAGTGAGTCATTTTCTATACCTTTAATGCTGGGAATAAATTAAAATACAAATTCTTGAATAATTGCTACATGACGCGAGTCTAATTCGCCAGGA